ACATACTATACTATGATGTTTTTTCATGATTTTGGACGACATACTATACTATGACTTTTTTCATGATTTTGAACGACATACTATACTATGACTTTTTTCATGATTTTCGACGACATACTGTACTGTGACTTTTTTTCATGATTTTGGACGACATACTATACTATGATGTTTTTTCATGATTTTGGACAACATGCTATACTATGACTTTTTTTCATGATTTGCGACGACATACTATACTATGATGTTTTTTCATGATTTTGAACGACATACTATGCTATGATGTTCTTTTCATGATTTTGGACTACATACTATAGTATGACGTTTTTTTCATGATATTGGACGACATACTATACTATGACTTTTTTCCAGGACTTTCGATGACGTACTATACCATGCCTTTTTTTCATGATCTTGAATGACATACTATACTATCATGTTTTTTCATGATTTTTGATGACATACTATGCTATGACTTTTTGTAATGGGTTTTGACAACACACCATACTGTGACTTCATTTCATGGTTTCATATGACATACTATACTATGACCTTTTTTCATGATTTCGGACAACATACTATACTGTGACTTTTTCCTTACATACTGTGGTATGACTATTTTTGAGAATAAGCAACAGCAGGAAACATTAGCTTTGAATTAGTAATAACACATCTCCAATAAGTAAACAGAGTCTAATGTGTGAACACAGGAGTGAAACCACACTCCAAACTACAGAGATTAGGGAGGACTTATCGGTCATTAGTCTAAACTAACATTAACCTCCTGACTGACACTGATGGAACTACATCACTTTAAATAAGTGATGATTTTGTGTGATAGCAGTTGTTACTGTGATGTTTTGTATGTGTGAAAATTATTTCACCTTTTATGTGTAATATTGTTGAGTCATGAAATAATCAGCCCAGCAGAGCCAAGGACATTTCATTGTTTATTTTCAACTTCATGTTCAAAAAGTTACATAGTATTTTAACAATTAAAATGTGCTAAAGCACAGCGTTCTAAACTTCTAAAAGCCGCTTCGGACAAATACGGAACATTTCAATGAGCATAAAAAAAGAAACCTGTATATGTATAATAAAAAGTGTAAAACACCTACACATTAAAAATCATTGAACATCACCATTAATGAAAATAAAATGAAAGAGGAAATGTACAAAAGTCTGTAGGAACACAGAAGGAAGAGGAACTTCCAAACAAGCAGAGTGTGGTTGAAGTGTGTTGCTTTAATCGAACATGTCATCATCGTCGTCTTCATCCCCATTGTCTGACTCGTCAAAGTACTTCACCTCTTTCTTGGCCCGGCCCGGCCGGTCACGGGACGGAGCACTCAGAGCACTCAGGCTGTTGCTGTCATCATCCTCGTCATCAGATGGGGGTTTCTGAGACTTCTGAATGGGAGGACAATAAAACACTTTATTACAGTAACCATTTAGGTTATTACTGCACTGAGTGTGTGGACTGTGTATATGTAGGAACTGTATGTATAAACCTTTTTGGTATCTTATAACTGCAGGTACCACATGTATCCAAGACAAATTTTCTTCGGGACAAAGTCTATTTTATCATATCATAAATAATAAACAATATTATTGTTCCCTTTTTTTGGTCTCAAACACCAACACTGCGTCTAATACACACAGGACGATACTCACTCTGCCGACAAGTTTTGCTGCTTTCTTCATTGGACTGTACTCGTCTTCAGAGCCGGAGGCCTTCCTCTTCCTCCCTCTGCCTTTACCTGCACAAAGTTTACCAGAACAGAAAGTGACCAAAATATTCACCATGAGCAATTATTGGTTTGTTTGTGAGAAAACATAGGATGCGTGCTGCACCTTTAAGAGCTGGTGCTGGCTTCTTGGACCCAGTGTCAGAGTCAGAGTCCCAGATGGATTTATCTGGCTTCTTTGCTTTTGGTGCTGGTGGCTTCTTAGGTTTGGGAGCTGCATCAGAGGGTTTCTTAGCTGCTGTAGATCACAGGACATCACAAGTTGTTAACACATGGGCACCATCATTTTGTCCATTGCAAAGTCCTTATTAAATGCATATTAAACTCCATTAAGTTCCATTTTAGGCATCGTTATTAGCTTTTAAAAATCATCCCCTCTCCCTTCTGTTACGCTGTCAGCTATGGTGCTGCATTAGAGCTCCATCTGTTGGACACAGTGAGTCATTACCTTTCTTTGCTGGCGACAGTTTGTCAAATGCAGAGCTGCTGGAGTAAGTGGAGAACACGGGGCCCCTGTCATCGTCACTGTCGGACTTGGACCCATCTACGAGACAAACACAGACCAACGCTCAGCTGCTGCACTTTCTGCACACATCACTCCTGCATGTTCACATTTCTGACTGAGTTGACCTTCTGTAGAGCATCATACGAATTTGCCTTCCTGCACCTTTTCTCTGTTATATTATGTCTAGAATGTACATACTTGGCTTGTCCTCAGCTTTTATGAAATTTGTTGAACTTGTCTGGATCCAGCAGAACTAGATCAGAAATGTTGGCAGTGTTCAGTTCAAAGAGAAAAGCAAATGCAAGTGTTGGCAGTTTACTTTTGGAGCCTTTATGGACAAAACAACCAGAGATGTGAACATGTGTTTTCAGCTGAGCTAGAAATTAAATATCTGAGAAATCAAGGTGCCTCATCACAGTGATGCAAAAGTCCTGTAAATCCAACACTGACATAAATCACTTCTGCTCATTGATCTTCAGTGTTGTCTACAACGGCCTGATAAAACTACAGATACTAAAAGAGAGAGCTTGGTAACCTTCATTAGAAAAGCAACAACTGTTGGATTAACTGACTGGCACTAAAAGGTCATTGATTTTATTGGTTGAAACTGCTAAAAGTCTCTTTTGTCTCTTGTTTTCTGTTTCCTATATGACAGTAAACTTAATAGTTTAGGGTTAAGAAGTGCTGGTCAGACAAAAGAAAAACTGTGGTTAATGTTTTTCACCGTTTTCTGGCATTTTACAGACAAACTATTAAGGTCCAAACAAACTGAAAGCATCTGATGCAGGCGTAAGTACACCTATTGTTTTAGATGGTCGAACATGCTCCGAAAACATTTTGAGGTGTGTCAAACTTTTTTGTACCTCTACTCCGCCCTTATTTTGATTTTGGAGCATCAAATGTGGACCCAGTGAAGCAGAGACGAGGGACGGAGAGACAGATGTGCAGCAAGATGCACATCAGTTTTGGGCAACAGCTGACATTAGCTCCATTTGCTTAGCTCAAATCTTTACGAACAATACAGCTGTATTTTTTGCAATCCTAAATTAAAAACACTGCCAGCAACTACTATAGATATTTACTGCTGCGTTGTCTCATGTCAGATTCTAAAATTAAAAACTTAAAACCTTAGTAATCATGTTTGCACAACAGACCCAACCTGTATCATCTATTTATGTTTAGAGCGTTTACTGACACCTGCTGGTCATAAAATGTAACAACGGCAAATCATTAACAGCATAGTTCAGCTGTGTTTCATGAGGCTGTCGTTCACCTGGAAATAAAAATATAAGATGAATTGTGATGGCTGGTCCTTCACAAAAAGCAACCTTTTCCCAAAACACAGCTGGTCCTGTGAAGCTGGCATTTTAAATCTGGAGGAGCATCAACTGGCGTGTGTGTCAAATGAGGCATGTTAATTATCGCTTTCAGTGTGTTTGGGCCTTGACTCATGTCACAAATCAACAACACTGAAAGTAGATGTTTGCTGCTGCCCTAAACTGTGTAGAAAAATCTGATGGTTGTCAAATTTTTATCATTGGAAACAAAAACACCAACACATCACCAAACCTTTCGATTGCAGTTCATTTTAAGCCCAGTTGAGACCAAAGATTTGTGATGAGACGGAGCCATTTTAAAATGTTGCAGCGGTGTGGACTGGCCCGTCTCAGTTCGACTCAAGCCGGCTGATGGTGTCGCCCGCGATTTAGACCGTATGGTACGTCACCTGTTTCATCAGCCAATCGCCTTGTGGCAGAGTCATCTAGTCAAGCCAGTTAAAACCTGTCAGCAGATGGTGTGTTTGCTTGCCGTGGCATTTTCTGGCAACAGCCCTCCGTCTGGATGTAAAAGAGACGGACACAGGCTCAATCGGCTGCTGACACGTATACGAGTCTCCCTCCTTGTGTTGTGTTGGATGACGGATACACGTGTCAGACGGTGGGTCTCTGCTGCTGGTTCTATGTAAAACAAAGCACTCTTACGGTTGTTACTTGTACCTGAAAACTCATCTTGTTGCGAACCTTTGGTGTGAACTGGGCTTTAGAAAGATACTGCAGATGCGTGTGACGACACACTGACACTGAGCTCTTACTCACCACTGTCATTGCTTTTTTCAGAGAAGGCCGACTTGGACGAGAAGATGCTGGTTGTCTCTGTCTTTTTAGCTACAGGCGCAGACCTTCAGAGAAGCAGAAAAATCTTATTCAGTATTTGTTTTCCATATATTTTGGGGCCTTTTGCCTTTATTGGATAATGAACAGTAGAGGAGGAAGATAGGAAATGAGTAGGGGAGTGATGGGACAGACTCGAACAAAGGTCCCTTGTTAGATTTGAAGGTGTGAGACATTATGGACACATGATAAGCAGGTTAGACCCAGAGCAGATAAAGATCCCCCAGTGTCCCCTTTGAAACACACAACATTCCTACAATCTTTTTATTTCAACACGTTCAGATGAGCTCCTGACTGTTGTTTCAATCTTACGTGGTCTTTTGTTTGGGGGCAGGGTAGGAGTCTTCGTTATCGTCGTCATCCTCGTCATCGTTATGGTCATTGAAGCGCTCCTTGGTGTCAGAGGACGGGAAGTCGTCCTTAAACGACCTCACTGGAGAAGAAGGCACATAATCGTCACCGTTCTCCTCTTCGTCCGCCGCCTCCTCCTCGTCCTCCTCCTCCGAGAAGTCAAAGGTGTATTTTGGCTTGGAAGCTGAGAGACAAGAGCAGAGTGTGTCACATTATTACTGCTGTGGATCCTGGTGCCTTGTACAATAATTATTCGTGTTGCATCAGACTGAGCCCTCAGAGGCTTGAAGCCGACAGAGGCTAATCAAACTGACGAAACGTAGACCCAGTTCACAAGTTATTTTTGGCCGCGGGCTGCATGACGTGGATTTAAATAAAATGGTAGCAGTTACTCTGTAACCAGCTCCCTGATCCTGACGGTGGGTCATAACATAACAACATTGTACATAATCCTGAAATCTCACACTCCTTAAGACTTTACAAGTACATCAATATTAGGTAAAGGGAGCCCTAAGAAAAGGGCCATGCCAGTTTTACCCCGGCTAAATTTTAGTCTCTTTTTCCAGTGTTTTTTAGATCAATTCGCCACAGGCTAGGATGAAATGGCTGGTACCAAGGGGTTCCCTCTGTTGTCTAGTTTCACATGATACCAGAACAGTAATAAAGATTTAATTTATATATAAATTCATACTTCTGTGTTGAATTGACACTGTAGCTACAGTAGGCTCTGCGTTGACATGGAGCCTACACCGCAACCTACGCCATAGCCTGACGTGAACCTCCCCAGAAATGTAACTAGACGTCACAGCGACACAGACCTCCTGTCACACCTAAGTCTTGTGTGTGATTTATCCTTCAGGGATTTATACTTCGGGATTTATCTTGGCTTCATGTGAGCAGAGGAAATCTCCGCTCGTTGCTAGGCTAATTTATACAATGTAAAATGCCATAGGCTGGTGCTAATAACGTTAGCTTTTTATATTTGTTTGGAAAACGTGTTTAGTATTAGACAGTTGTTTTGTCGGCGAACCTTATGGGTTGTAATGGATCAAAATTATGTAACGTTAAATATGTTAAATGTTGCTGTTGTTCCTGGTTTTATATGAGTAGAGGAAAAGTCCGCTAGCTGCTAGGCTAATTTATACAATGTAAAATGCCATAGGCTCATGCTAAAAACATTAGCATGTTGTATTTGTGGGGAAAATGTGTCCAGATAAAGACAAGTGTTGCGAGTTATAGTGAAGCTGATGTGTGTACTTGTGTTTGAAACTGTCTCTATTAAGCCATGTTTAATGTGTGTTTAATGTGTTTTTTGAATCAACTAAACTTTACAGCACTTCACAGAAACCTCCACCACCAACTAGTGTTTTGGAGGTGTAACTGCAGAGTGACACGGACACACCACCACACATGTATAAAAGCTCACAACAGCGTAGGCAACGTGTGTAGGCTACCGCATACTACAGATACTGTAGCTGCCATAAATGGTGAGATGGTGATGCTAGAGATGACAGTGAATATTCAACTGAGGGCCCAACTCTACCTGATGCCCTCTGGGACTTGGTCTCTCTTGGGATGACAGGTTTACTGTTCTCCACGTCACTGTCTGACTTGGAATCATCCTCAGACCAGGGGTTTCTCTTCTTCACCTTCTTCGCAGGGGTACCTTTGGGTCCTGGAGGTTTCCTCACTCTGGGAGCTCCTGCAACACAGTAAACAAGATTACCAGACTGTTTGTTGATGGTCAGGATTCTCACTTATGACCGAGGAGCTGCTGGTTGTTAAATAATGGACTATAGTTTTCTCTCTGCACTGCAAAGCATCACAGAGGCCTGGGGTAATGGCTTCTTTCAAACCAGTCCAACACAGTGTATTGAGGAGAAAGAATGCTGTATCATCTCTGGATAGTGGTAGCTGACAAATGTGCTGATCAATCATTTATCTACTGATACAGCAATTTCATCATTTCTTACAACCCTCCTCCATATTCAGAGAGCTCCAAAAAGTTACACTATTACATTGGAAAAACAGTGATGCAGTTGCTGTTAAAAACTAAAAGAAATTACTTTTACATGTTTGATGAAATTGCAGTTTTCAGGTTAGTACTGACCAGGCTCTTTCTTTTCTCTCTTGACACGTGGAGCCTTTGGTTTGGCTACAGAGTTTTCTCCTGTTGCCGGTGCTCCCTCGCCGCCCAAACCATCTTCATCAAACTCCAACTTCACCGCTGGATCAATGTCGCTCTGGGAGAAAAACAAAACCTGTATCAATCCTGGATTCAACATTTCACTTGAGTATTTTTGGCATTACATCAGCAGTTATTACCTTCTTCTTTTTGGTCAGTTTCTTGGCTGCGTCAGATCTGATCGCCTGAGTCGGAGGCTCCACCCTGCGGCCAAATGGTGAGGGCATGGTCTCCTCCAGGTTCATCTTCTTCACTTTAGGTTTGCCCACTTTCCCCTTCACCAGTTTGATGGCCTTTCCTGAACTCTGCTCCTCTCGCTCCTGAGCCTCCACTTTCTGATAGACCAAACAAAGCATTTCTTAAATTACGTAACTTTTTACTTTAGATACAGGAAATCATCAAATAAATGGCAGCATTACAAAAATAGCAGAGTGGCCATCACAAACAAATAAAGGCCAAGTAAAAAGAGAGGCTATCAGTCAATAGTTTGTCAAGCGCAAGGAAACTGAGATCTGTGTGGGAACGAGACACTAAAAAGAGGGTGGATCACTGGGAGTACCACCAGTTGGTCCAGGAGCTTCGCCTCCATGATGGCTGTCACCAGGCATATGGGATGACTCGGGGGCAGTTTGACAACCTGCTGTCTATCATCGGGCCGTATAGCTCTGGGTATCCAGCAACCACTACCACCAGGTTCTCCTCTATTGTCTACCAACTGTAAACTTATTGTCATGACCACCACAGAAGGCCTGTCTCTTGAATCATCCGACTGGACAATGGGGGAAAGGCGGAGATGACATGACGCGTTTTCTGTCCTGAGTTCTTTCAGCTTGAGGCGTTCAGAGCGCTCCGGCAAAAAACCCCAGGAGCTTAACCACACAAACGCAAGGTGTGTCGCAACTCAAAAACAGCGAGCAAAAAGCTTCATTCTCATTAAAATCAATTACAAAAAGGCGCCTCCAGCTGCTAAAACACATCCTGTGTGATCAGGAATTCACTCTAATCTTGTTAGTATAACAGAGTCCCGTCTTTCTCCCCTGATCTCAGCTTCTTATAAACAAAAACACTGTTTTAATTCAGTAATTTATTCCAATAATTTCTACTTTTCTCTCCGTGCTGTCTGACACTCAGCACCTCCTGAACACATTCCAAGTTATGTCTTCTAGGAGCGGGAGAGATTATGTGCACTAAGTGTTGTGTTTCACTGACAGCAGCTTAAATGAGTAATTCAACATCTTGAGAAAAATCCTTATTTGCTTTCTGGTGAAAGTTTAATGAGGAGATTGAACCCAGTGTCGTGTCTGTCTGTTAAATATGAAGCTACAACCTGCAGCCAGACAGCTTAGCTCTCCTGGTTCTGTCCAACATGTATTTATCTGAGGCATTTTTATACTTTTTGTATGGATTAAACAAGCCAGATATGACGTGTTAATTTAAGAGCTTTAGAGGTTCTGGTAGGTGGATTTTGTTTCCTCTGGACAGAGCCAGGCTCATTCTTTATTTCCCTACTTCCTGTCCATTTGTGAAGCTACACTAACCGCCTGTAGGTTGTAGTTTCACATTTAACAAATAAGAAGAGTGCTCACGAGGGTGGTGTTGATATAGAAGGCAAATAAGCGTATTTCTAAAAATATCATGCTCTTCCTCGAAAGATACATTGAGAAAAATCGAAATGAAAACAGCAAAGTAGAAGCGACTGCAAACAATACTGTGTTAGAGTAGAGAACGGCAAAATTTACATTATACTAAATTTCAATTTACTTTATACATCCGACCAAAAATCAGTTATCATCCACTTCACATCAACTTCAACTAGACTCACAGCTGAACGAGTGTTGCGTGCTGAGACAAAAAGCAAAACTTACATCCAGCTCCTCGATGAACACCGACAAGTCCTCCTTCCACAGATCCTCTGAAGATTTCCTCTGGAGATCGTTCAGCTCTGATCTCTATAAGTTAGCACAAATTTACTTTGTTAACCTCATTACAGAAAAACATCCTAACTGCTTGTCCTAGCTCAAGTTTTAAAGAAAATCCCCAAGTTGAGACAGTTCTGTTAATTCCTGTCCTGAAATAAGAGAGATTTTTTTCCTAATGCAGTTGGGAAACATGTTTTTGTATTTCAGACTTAGGAAGTTTCTGTAATAAAACCCCTGGATCACAATCAACCACAGAGTCATGATGAAAGTCTAGTGAGATGAAAATAACCACGTGAACAGTGATTAATAATACCTTGTGGTCCCTCTGTTTGAGAAGCTCGTCCACCTTCTCTTTAGTCAGGCACCACAGGGGCATGTTGAGAATGTAGTTGAAGTTCGGCCCAGACGTGGAGCCGGAGTCCACAGAGCTGTCGCTATCGTTTGCGTCGTAATCTTCCTCCTGGGCCTGTGGGACAAAAACAAGAACCATCTTATCAAACAACAGAACCCAAATCATGCTGCTTCCTCCACCTGCTGTCATGATTAATGTGTGTTTAGGGACGTGAAATAATGTACAGTCCTAGGAAGTGATGCAAGGGCAGCTCCCTCTTGTGTTTGTTCACAGTTATAGCAACGACTGCTAAAAACCTACAACTAAGTTATTTTACTGCAGTGTGTAATCATTTATATTGTTCATTCATGTATTTTACTTTAGGTCATGTTACTGAATTTGTACTTGTAGATGTATCTTTAAAGCCGCTGTAACAGTACCTTTTCCTGAGCCTTAGCCCAGGCAGCCACTGGATCCGACTCGAAGCCTTTCTGGACGAGCATGCGGATCAGTTCACGCTTGGTTTTGTTCTCTGTTAGGATGAAAAATGTAGGTAAGAACATATTCGACCTCTCACTGCTACATAAGATCTGATCTGACTTTCAGCATTCCTACCGATGGAAATTTTTCCTTCGATCTTCTCCAGTACAAAGCGGGCCTGGTTGGACAGTTTGGCGGCTTCAGCTCCCAGGCTGCCCAGTAACCAGTCCTTCCTCAGTTTGTAGTAATGCAGGCGGAGCTCAAAGAACTCCCTGAGGATGTCTTGAACTGAATCGTACCGCTTCAGACAGCCCATGTGGTCAAACAGCACCTGGGGATGAAGTGGTTTCAAAATCAGTTTGTGACACAACATGGACAATAGAGCAAATTCACAAACCAGGGAGGCCAAGCCATCTGTATGGGTAAACACCTTCCATTATTTATATTTCATTTAAGGTCAAACTGAAATCACAGTTTACCATGGAGTTGCAGGTAAGGCTGGACTGCAGCTTGAAGACTTTGTGAAGGCCAGCTGTTTCAGCTTGGGCAAGTTTCTCCTCAGACATGCGCACCACAAACTTGACGGTGGTATCTGTGTGGTATTCCTTATAGTCGCTAATGAGAGCTGGTGTTTTGTCAGTGCCCTGCAGCATGGGCTCCAGCACAGACTCCTTATACGCCTGCACAACACAGGAAATAAACAGTTAACATCTCATTGTTATCCTATTACTATCATGACATATTCAAGCTCTATATATGGAGGTCAGTTAGCTTCCATCTTAAATGGAAAAAAAATCCAGTATAAGACATCCTTGAGAAAAGAAGCAGAGTTGTACCTGAGTCCATGTCCGAACAGGAAGCTCTGTGATCTCAATGGTGTTTCTGTCAATGACCGACACCTCTCCACTGACAAGGTACTGGTTCTGACCGAGCTCATGAATCACCCCTTTGAAGTTTTTGTAGCTGGGAAGCTGTTTGGGGACAGACATTGCACAGAGAGACACTGAGAGAATGGTCTCATTTTCCATCTTTCTCCTGCCTGCGTCCAAACTACAAGCAACATGCTATGAAGATCCATGAGGAATCTGGGAAGTAGAGCTGATCTGTGAACTGCCGATATGCTTATCAGCCAAGAAAATCTGGTCAGGGCTACATTCACACTCCAAATTCTTTATAACTTTTCTTTGAAGGAGCACAGAAGTGAAATATTCAGATTTATTGTATCAGTTTTACAGCCCAAGAAAAGGTTTCCTCGTCTTGTTATGTCACTTAAACTATCTCCTAATTGGCACTCAAGGTTTCTATCAATCCAGTAACACAGCTAAAACATTCCTGACAAACATGCCATTACATTAACACACAGAAATCATGTACACAACCAGAGAAAATGATGATAAAAGCCACCGCAGTTTGATGTGTAAGACTCAGACTGTTTACCATTGGCAGGGGGTCCTGGTGGTTGAGCATGCGGTTGATGTTGTTGACGATCTCTCGGGGGTCGTAGTTGGGGATCTTACACGCCCAGCCTGTTCCGATGCCCTCAGCGCCGTTCACTAGCACCATTGGAATGATGGGGATGTACCACTCAGGCTCCACCTTCTGGTTGTCATCGTACAGGAACTTGAGCAGGTTGGAATCCCCTGCTGGGAACAACAGCTTCGCAAGCGGACTGTGGGAAGCGAGACCACCGTTAAGAGTTTATATAAAAGGTTCCAGACAAAAAAAAACATACAGTAAAAAAAAAAGGCATCAAGAAGAAGTCAAATTTAAAGATGAATACTGGTATCATCATCTAGCATAAAGAAATCCAACTGCTGCGTTCATTGTTGCTTTACCTGAGCATGGTGAAGATGTAACGAGGGCTGGCAGCATCTTTGCCTCCATTGATGCGAGTACCAAACTGACCCAACGGCTGCAGGATGTTCACGTTGTTACTGCCCACAAAGTTCTGGGCCAAGTTCACGATGGTCATCATGAGAGCTTGCTAAAGGGACAAATGGGAAATTAGTGATCAGTAATAGTGAATAGAAATGAGAATCTCTACAATAAGATCTCTAGACATGAGCTCTACTCATCTACTCACTCACTACTCATCTTCCCCACTGTTATAATGACTCTCAATACACTGTGTCACATGTCTGGAAAACACTGAGTTGACTGTACCTCTCCATGATGGTAGGCAGACATCTCTGCCACTGAGCCGGCCAGCTGTGCCACCTTCACTTCCCTCTTGTCGTTTCTCTTCAAGCAGGTGAACAGAACCTTCCTCTGGCCGGGCTTTAATCCTGGAAACAACACACACATGCCATCATTAATACATCACCATTCTTCCAAAGAAAGAACATATGGTAATGGTTTTAAATATAGGAATGACTTTTTATGTTGGAAATACTCTGACAGAAAAGCAGCACAGCAAACACTTCACAGAAATGAGGGTGAATATACAAACCATCAACCAGGGATGGAATGGATCTCTCATTGTCAGAGTTGGAGAACAGAATCAGCTCTTTGTTGATGAAGTCGTTGTAGGAGAGGTGCCTGGCCTGATTTCCATACAGGTATTGCTGAGAGAACAGGATTAAAATAACAGTTAATGCACAAACTTTAATCAGTGGTTTCATCAGAGTGGTTTGAGATTAGTTTGAGTACGAAAATAGGCCTTCTGAAAGTTTTACCATCAATTCAAACTGGCCCCGTTTATACATGGTATTAACATGCGTCTTGGGTGATCCAATCACAAGCGGATTCTGTCATTTTGTCATATAGGAGACATATTAAATTCTCCTGACAGTGATATCTTAAGCTGTAAAGACACAACCGCTATAGTGATTAGCGAGCAGCTAGCCAGGGTGGGCACAGGGCCCTTTGACATAACAGCTTAAGTGATGTAGGCAGTATAGAAAATCTGAGCACAAATGGTCAGCCAGAGATGCATGATAGACACAGGTATTGACGGTCATGTGACTCGACTGTCCACTTGTGCTCGGATCACCAAAAGCATGTTATTACCAGGTGTAAACAGACTTACAGATATCTGGGAAAAAAACATAAATGATCTGAATACATCCAGTCACAGAGTTGGTTGAGTTTGGTCCAAAGAATTCCCACAGTGGAAGCAACACACACACACACACACACACACACACACACACACACACACACACACACACACATCTTGACTTCCATTCCCCCCCATCACTGCCTGACACGACTCCAAAGGCACAAACCTCTGGCAGGCCGTGCATCCTCCTCTGGCGTCTGTCCTCCATGAAATTTGTCAGCCACTCCTTCCTGTCGTCGGTCTTCTTCTTACTGAAGGCCTAGAGTAGAAAACAGCAGGTCAGCCTCCATTTAGCACATGTTTAAAGGTTTTTTGGGTGTGGACCATGTTGTGTTTAAAGCACAGAGCACTTGCTGATACAAACAACAATGTTTGACATGTTTAGAGTGTATTTTATTAGAGCATAGTTCCCGTGCTCACGTGTTTTGACAATATTTATAATTGGAGAACCTTTTCTGTTAAATCAAACGCGATCATTTTTGTTGAAAAGGTAAAGTATCTAGTGCCTAATCAAGACCCCTTAATTGCATCGAATCAAAATCATATCGTGGCAGACTTTGTAATATCGGTATATATCAAATCGCTGTCTAAATAATCCATATAATATTGTATCTTGATGAAACCAGTGATTTACAACCCCACTAATACTGTCAGAGAGGAGCTGAATCAGTTCTTCTCAATATTGGCTTTTACTGTACTTAATGGTGGGTGTTTTTGCATTATATTGGAAGGTATTTTTCACAATTCGACTCCCATAGAAAAGCATACAGTATTAAACTCACCAGAGTAATTGCAGCGTCATCCTCCGCACCGCTGTACCTGAATGTGATGCGATGCTTCTCCATGTCAGCAAAGTATTCCTTTGCCTCTTTGCTTGTACTTGTACCCAAACCTGGAACACAAATAAAACATTTTATTATCTTTTTAGAAATTTAGAATTTCTAAAAATGTTCAGTTGCAAAATTGATATTGTTATATTCAAATACTCAAAAGCATCAAACCTTTGTAGTACTTTATATGCCAGGTTTTATAATTCTCCGTCTGTTTCTTCCACTCATCAAACTCGGGAATGCTGTAGAAGGCCAGCTCCTGCTTGTTCTTGGTCGCCTGCGGACAACACGCATCTTAGTACTGCTTGTTATCAGGTGCACTGAGATGTTACTGTACAGTATGTTTGAGTTTGTGTCTCTCTCTTACTTTGACAATGGGTGTGATAAACTCTTCCAGGAATGTGTGTTTCAGTAGGGACGGCCAGTTGTGGTGGAAGAAGTTGATAAGCAGACCTTTGATGTGGGAGCCATCTTGATCCTGGGACAAGACAAGAAATGTTAGAACTACTAGTTCAGTGACTATAAATTATACTAAAGCTGTGTGAGTCTCCATGATGCAGATCACCTGATCAGTCATGATCATGATCCGGCCGTAGCGCAGGGTCCTCAGTGACTCTGCGTCGTCGTAGCTCTTCTTGTACTGGAGGCCAACGATTTTGATGATGTTGTTAATCTCAGCATTTTCCATGATCTGTTGGCAGAAAGAAAAGGTAGCATCACATGCAAGATACTGATGGAGTTACATTGAGCTATAACTTTATACCAGTTTTGATCAACTCATTAAAACTGATTGTTCCCACTGCTTTCAGAGCACTGATTTGACAAAACCAGAAAAATATTGACTCATTGAACTGTTGGCAGATGCCTCCAGCACAGGAACTGGCACAGACTAGGGGCCTTTCCCCTGCTCATCATGGACTATATTGCTGTCATTGTTCATTTTAGTCAAACCATACAGTTTGAAAACGAGGCGCAGCTCCAACTAAAAATTTTTGATGAGTCAGAACACCAAACCTGTGCTCATAGGACAGTAAATATTTGGCAGGAGCCAGAGCAATAGGATGCCCATGTTGGCTTTGTGAGTGCCACTGGATGGTATCAAACAGTATACTGATATTAAGGCTCTAAAGAAGAGCAGAGAAAGGATTGCCCTTCACAACACCTTCAGCTCATCTTCAAAGACTTTCTATCTTTCTTGCTTTCCTTTCCTGCGCTGTGTTGTGTCAGGTCCTGTTCTTCAACCATTCAGTCCTTATAGAAAGTCTCCAAGATGAAAATTCTGCTTTGTTCTCTGCACCCTCAAACTTCCAATAAATATTTAACTATGTTTTGGTCGACTGAGTCATGGAAGGTGTGCAAGTTCATCACAGCTTTCATGACACCATTCCTGAATTTATTTATCAGTGCAAGTTGGGGTGTTAGGGCCCTGAAAAATGGGAACATGAGGGATCTGTGCCAGTATTGTGATGTGGGCCTGGTCCTTAAGAAATTCCTTATCACCCTTCCCCAACACACAACCGCTGAGGCCTAACTATCTCTAAATACCATTACAGATCCCTAATATGTTTAACAGTTTGGATGGACTGGTGAGCTTTACCTCGTAACTGCTCCTCTTCACTACTGCACTTTGTCAGTGTTTAACATGAGCTGTCGTGGTGTTTGACACCATTTCTCTTACACAAAATGATTTGAGTGACGTTCCTCCAGTGTGAACACAAACTGTTTGCTTTGTGTGGAACTCTATAAGCTGCCTCTTGCCTCCATCAAAGCTGACATAATATTGTAGTCTCAACAGTCAGAATCAAAGCCCACTCACCCTGGCAGCTGTCTGTAAGCTAAATGTTACTACAAAGTCTTGAGACAGCGTTTCTTTTATTCATACATTCCCTACTTTCACAAATATCCAGTCTCATACCTGCTTGTGTGTTGCCTCTCGCACATTTAGGATCTTTCCTCTCAGGGGGAACACTCCATAGCGATCACGCCCGATGACTCCCAGTCCAGAGACAGCCAGAGACTTGGCTGAGTCTCCCTCAGTGAGAATGAGTGTGCATTCAGAGGAGTGTTTGCCACCTGGGACATGGATGTGGAAAAGATTAATAATTACAGTGTGTCACTGTATAGTTTTCTTGATGCTGTTCAAACAATGGCAGAGTCTCACACAACAGGCCTTTTTTCACAGCAGACCTGTTGAATTATTATCGTGGGGAAGGCACAGGTGTTATAAATTTAATTAACAGGGATGTCCTGAGGCGATCCTAAGGATAGGTATTGAGGTTGACCTGGGTATATTTCAATGCAGATCAAAACCCGATCCTTTCTTTTTGCTGTGCGGTGTTTTTTCCACCTCAGCCTGCTGGTGCTGAAAGGCTGCTCTCTTTCACAACAGCATTTCACAGCATGTGTGAGTAAAAAATTGAGTGTGCGAATGTGAAAAATTGCATGGGCTATGACGATATGGATTTTTTCTAAAACACAGTTAAAAAAAAAAAAAAAAAAAAAGCGAAATGTCACTTCACTTATATTTGCTGCCTTAAGTCCAACACAGTTCAGAGTTTGCTCGCTCACAAAGCAGCAGATCCAGTCTCTGGCTTTGCATTCTGTGGCACGGCAGCCTTCAGTGTTGATAGGCTATTACGCATGGCGTGTAACCAATGAGATAGTGTTGTGGGTGGGATACTGAGCGAGGCAACAGAGTGATGACTACAGACTGCTGAGATGCAGTTATCATCACAGCCGTAATAACAATAATGTGCAAGTAATGCACTCCTGAAGTGAAACGTCTTTAGAGCAACACTTTATAACCTGTTTAACGCTCTGTAAATGTCTCTCTCTGCTCCTCATCAACATTTATGAGTCTGATAAAACGAACACAGCTCTGCCATCAGTGGTGGACATTCAAGGTATTCTTCTCCACATAATAATAAATAATCAAACTGTTAACACACCAGCATCGTTGGCGTCGTCTAGCTTGGGGATGCCTTTGATCTTGCTGTGCTTCACAGATGAGCACTTCTTATTCAGCTGTGTCTGAGCTTTGAACTTCACCCAGTTGAGAATACTCTCAACGATCCCACAGTTGGTTGCCTGCAGGGGACAAGGAGACAAAATCCTTTCATGACTGGTGTCCAATTATTTACTATGAAGAATCGAAAACAGAGTGAAACTGAGATGAAAGCAAAAGAGAATTGTCCTTACAGCCCTGATAAACTTCTCTGACAGAAGGCACTTGGACCCAAAGCTCTTCGTCTGGAGTGTCATATTCTCCTTGGTCTGGGAGTCAAAGGTGGGGTTCTCGATCAGCGCGTTCACAAACACCCAGATGTGGTTCTTCACCTGAAGCACAAATAAGAGCACGGTCAATCACTTTTTAAAACACGTCTGCAGTGAAACCACTGCAGTCGCCTTGAGTTAGACGTGCTGCATAAAGTCATTCATAACCCTACCTGGAAGGGTTTGACTGACACTCCCGCCTTGTTCTTCTTCTTCACCACTTCAATAAGTTTGCTCACTATCTGGTCCACCACATAGTCAATGTGTCTGCCACCCTGAAAAATACGAACCCTCAGTGTTAGACACACATTTTTCCTCTTTGTCTCCATGTTTAGCTCTACCACTTCTATCACTTCTTCCCTGCTGATATTCAGATACCTTGGTCGTGGCGATGCTGTTGACGAAGCCGATTTGTTGGAACCCCTTCTCACTCAGGGTGAGGCAAACCTCCCAACGATCATTCACAGTCTCATTCACCACCTTTAGAGCCACGCCCGTCTCGTCCAGTTTGTCCTTCACATACAGATCCACATAGCTGCGGAACCCAGTAATCTTTAATGACAGAAAAGACAGATAAGTTAGGTTCAGCAGGTAATATTCAAGTGTGAAACACCATTTAAAAATATTACAACTGCTGCCATGCCCTCTCTTTCTAAAGGCCCGTTTCCACTGAAGAAGTTCCTGGTACTATTTGGGGGGCAGGATCTACTACAGGAACGTCCTCTCGCTCGGCCCTCTCAACCGCTGTGTCTCCACTGAGAGAGCGGAGTAGGAGGAGGGTTCCTGTAAAGTTATACCTCTGTATATGACGTAATTGTTGCGCAACCATTTTGACCGGGGCGGCGTTAGTCTGGGGCCGTTTAGTGGCTATTTTGGTAAGGATCCGGAACCAGGGCGAAAGAGACAGGATCCGGAATTCGATGGATGCGCCTTTCCGTCAAAATAAAAGTACCAAGCTAATAAAAATGCGGTGAAACTTTTTAATTTAAAGAATATAATTTACAAGAAAAGCCCCACGCTATTAAGTTATCGATTTTCCTACACCCCTCATCACCCCAAATCGATGGTGCGCCAGAATTTAAAGTTTTACTTTGGTGAACACTTTTACTTTGGTGAATTTGGTGAATTCCGGATCCGCTCTCTAGACCGGAACCAGAATCCAGACAAAATTCAGAGTGAATAGAAACCAGGCTCTTCTCCGTACGTGAAGTGACTGGTGACGCGAGGCTAGGGCTACGTAGGGGTGTAGGGACGCCATTAGCCGTTAGTGGTGTCTGTAATAACTCTGGTCACGCTCCGTGAAAAAAATATTTTTTCCAGCGGATGTCTTAGTTACAACATGATTGAGCTAACTGGAGTAGTTTCATGTCATATCCGACAATGGGAGGCGTTTAACAGATGACGTCCTGATGTTAGCTTTGCTGCCGCTGTTAGCTGATGCTTTCTAGACATCGTGATTTCCCAAAACTGAATAAATACCACACATAGCAACACAAAACTGCTTTGGTAGCTCAATCATGTTATAACTAAGATATCCGCTGGAAAAAATATTTTTTCACAGACCGTTTATTGAATTATTACAGACACCGCTAACAGCTAACGGTTAGCCCAGTTAATCTACGATAACCATGTTATTAATTAAAAAACGTCACATCCCTCCTTGAGTATATCCAATCAGCACCAAGTAATCCCCAAGCCCCAGCCAGGAGTCTTTCGGGGCCGTTCTGTGTACCTACTCCGAGGCAGGGACTTGTTTAGCCCCTGTAAAAGATCCGGAACTCTGTCCTTCGGGGGTGGTTCCTGCGGTGGAGACACGCACCAACGGCCCCGGCCCCATAAAATTACCCCAAAGTTCCTGCGGTGGAAACAGGCCTAAATCCTCCCTCCCATCCAATATTGCTGTTGTTAGCAATGTCAGCGCTGTTAGCATAGTAGCCGCCATTATTTTGACACAGCCACCTCTATGTTTGTTTGTGACGTCTGAGGTGAGAGCTGTGTGCAGGCAATCCCGGCGCAGACCATGTATGTTGTATGTAGCAACTTTAACCCCACATCAGCTCACCCTCAACACAAATCTTATCGGCTCGTACAGTGCAACAAAGTAAAAAGTGGAGACTTACAGGCAGTTTTTTCCCGTTCAGCATGACTTTAACGCCCCTGCAGGAGCCGGCTACATCGTATGCTCTGCGGGTAAGAAGTGCTACAATATCCTTGTCCAGTTTCTCCATCTTGAACTTGGACAAGTCTGGCTGGAACGTCACGCAGGTGAAATCGTCCCCGTCAAAGAACTTGATCTTGGGATCCGAAGTCTTGCCCATGTTGTTCTGCCACGTCTGCGGACAGTAAAAAACACGGTAACATACACACACACCTGCCATTGCCTAAAACATCGTCATATCCACCTCTAGATTATTTCATTGCTCAAAATGCAATAAAGCATTAGACCATCAAAACCATCCTTAGTGTATCAAGTGCATTTAGTACATCTCCCCGACAACCATGATATAAAACACCCGGTGATTTTACAATTGTGCCTTCACATCATAAAGTAGTAATATTCACAACCTTACCTCAGATATGACCACATGACCACAAACCCTATAAAACAGTAATTACTTAATTCAAAGATCATGTGGCACTGGGGAAGATTAGATTTTTAAATTTCCTACTATCAGATACAGTCATTACCATCTGTTAACAAACAAGACCGTCACCTTGTGGTGACTATAATTAAAGTGTCAGCAGAGCAGAACACAACAATGTGCAACTCACAGGAAATCTGCTGCATTTACTGCACTGTTCTTATTGCAAAAATAAGGCTAACATTTTGTAGAGGGAGGGAAATGATGAAAATAAAAACACATTAATCACAGCCAAAGTTTATTTTTTAGTATAGTGAAAAAGATAACCTTTGACCACAGAAGCAAACATCCTCTTAATGACAAGTAACTGGATTTGTAGTTTTAATTTAAATCAATGCTGACCATGACTGTTTGCTTATTTGTTTGACTGTGTCGTATTCAACATAAGAGACATCCTAACCTGTTTGAAACTGTGTCTGTATTCCTTGCAGGCAGTTTCCACTGTGAACTTGGTACTGAAGATGTTGCAGAGTTTAGCACCGTACCCGTTCCTCCCACCTGGAGCCAAACAAACAGTTAGTTCTGTGTTATCAGTATCAAGCTTCCTGAACCAACTTCAATAACCACTGATAAAGATGTGAAGTTGTCTCCTCTCACCTGTGACCTTTTTCTCGTCATCGTCATAGTTGCTGGAGGTGAGCAGGTGGCCAAAAATGAGAGCTGGGACGTACATCTTCTCATCCTTGTGCTCCACCACTGGTATTCCTTTACCATTGTTCCAGATAGTAATGGTGTTGGACTCACTGGTGGAGGCAGAATAAAGGACGGGGATGAGTAATGGAGGCATGTGAACAAAACCAGGCACAGGCAATCTGAAATGTATTCATTTGTAGGGCCAGGTACTGAACCTCAAAACTTTTTAGGTACGGACCAAAGCGTGTCTTGCTCACCACTGAGATCTGAGTTTTTTAATCTCTGCGTTGTCTCTGCTGCATCTGCTGAGGTTACACTAAGTCCAGCTCTAAACTGCTGTCAATACTGATATCAGTGAAAGTAGGAGATTGATCAAGACTCAAGTCACTGTTACTGCTTTCAATGTCTGCTGGTGAAACACACACTTCAGGTCACACTAATGAAACAGAAGCCATTTTGTGCCACGTTTAAAGTTTCTCGCTTTAACTTATCATTACAAAATAAATGTTGATTGCACAATGTAATGGCTATAAAAAGAGGACACCATCTACATTTAGATTGGTCCCCTGTGATCCTTGTTTTCACGATGCAATACTGTCTCATACTGGGTACGATCTCCTGGGAAATTATGGGCTTGAGTAACAGCACAAAGGAAGTGCTTTCATCTGTGCACGACCAAAACAAGAACAGGAAAACACTTTTGTTTATTTTGCAGTGGCAAATGGTAGCTATTCCCAGTTTCCAAAGAGTATCTGTAGACCCTTTTACAGTGCCTGTTCAAGTAGGGAATGCTGAGCTGTTATATTGCCTCACTGGTACGTTCAGGAATCGGGGGACTGAGTTGTTGCGCCATCAAGCTGGCAGCGGAGGTAGCAACAACTGTAAACTGGAGTCTGTGCAAAAGGTGTGAGGCGACAAGACGGGACAAGTATGATGTTTTGACAACATGTTTTGTGTTGAACCCCCACTGAGAGATTTAACATGCAGCTGGAAGCAGTTAGCAGCTAACTCAAAAGAGGAACTGAAAATGTCCACAAATCGGGGAGACACTGAGGTCTATGAACTCCTTACCCTCTAAGCAGGGGACAAGATCAACTGCTATAAAACAGGGAACGGTAAATAACCGTTATCGCTGCGTTATTGTTCAGAAAGCACTGCCAACACAGACGTTAAACATCGCACTGAGTTAGTATGCAACAAGGGTTCTAGGAATTCAAGATGACTGACAGATGTTTTATCTGTGCATTAACACAGCTAAAGGATACGTCCAGTTTAGACAGAGGCAAGACAGATAGAGAGAAACTGGAGCAACGTTCTGTCAGAGCTATGGGGTGGGGGGTGGGTGGATGTCAATGGTCATGAGATAATAGCGGGTGTGGTCTGTGTCTGGGTGTGAATGCACTTTTGAATAGGTGAGGTGGTTGTATTTAAGCAAAAACGGGGTGCAAAGTTGTTCGTTAAAATCTCTGTATCATATCCATCCACCCTTTCTCCGATATGTTATGATGTAGTCAGGTTTGCAGTGACTCAGGAAGACACCAGTGTTTAATAAGCTCAGCCACAAACAGGCTGAGTGAGCTGTGGACAGGAGCATTAACATCTCTATAAAACCACATTAGCAGCAGAGACCTGAGTGCGGCAGGGCTAATTGTATCATTTATACGGCAGGGGACATTAGACAGAGCAGCAGCTCGGCTGAAGGACACGCTGCTGTTTAAGCAGTCGGACGTTAATGCAGTTGACAGGCTGGAGGTGAACTGCATATAAAACAAGAGCTCAGTGCATTTCAGCACAGGCTCATTATACTGAAGATCTGCCTGGATCCATGTCTCAAACCTCCTCTGTCTACTTCATGTTTTCACTGAGCTCTGATTACAGCCACAGCATGAAGAAAACAGCCACCTGGATACAGGCAGGAACTGTCACCAGTACGACTCACCGATAAACACAGAGCATTTTCCCTCCAAAATCAGCTGCTCATCTTTTTTTAAGGATGTAACGGATTCGTAATAGTTATGTTTACATTTACAGGGGCATTTCAAATCAAAATCCAACACATTGAGGTGATTTACAGTACTTTGTCAAAAGGTACAAACTCTATTTGTAATTATATTATAGAACATTGTACTCACGGATCGATGGTGACCTTAATGGTATTCATGTTCTTGTCCCTTTGTTTGTTGTCTGCTGCATTGACTGTCAAGGAAAAAACATACAAATAAAACATACATACAAAAGTATCCAACATAAAGCTCTCATATAAAAATATACTGGATTCCAACAAATGATTTTTTTTAATCTTCAGTTAATGGGTCGATCGTTGTTTCAGTCAATCGCTTACTCTGTAATATGTCAGAAAATACCAAAAAGTGCTTATCAGAATTTCACTCAGTACATTTACATGCAGCTTGAGAAAATCAAATTATTGGCTTAGTCCGAGTAAAACCGGACTTGGACTTTTAAAAGCATGTTAACAGCTTAGTCTGATTGAAATTGGACTTTCAAATGCACGTTAACAGCTTAGTCCGACTGAAATTGGACTTTCAAATGCATGTTAACAGTGTAGTCCGATTGAAATTGGACTTTTAAAAGCACGTTAACAGCTTAGTCCGATTGAAATTGGACTTTTAAAAGCACGTTAACAGCTTAGTCTGATTGAAATTGGACTTTTAAATGCATGTTTAAACAATTTCCCCCCGGGGATTAATAAAGTATTCTGAATCTGAATCTGAATGTTAACAGCTTAGTCTGACTGAAATTGGACTTTCAAATGCACGTTAACAGCTTAGTCCGACTGAAATTGGACTATCTGTAGCTCATCTAACACACCTAGAAGAAGGAGATGACATAGCAGCATTCAGTATATAGCAGTTCAGTAACTCCCGGAAAAACAAACTAATAAACACCATGGCGACCGAGAAGCAGAAGACGCACTTCTGGACGGACGTTTATGGATGGTAAGAAAATGCAGATTTATTTTAAAAAGTTTCTGAACAAGAACCGGAATTGGTTCAATATGCACCAAATTATAAAGGACACAGTGCCACCCATTGAGGCGGAGTCAGACGTACTTGGTCAGAAATTTGGATTTCTCTTCTGCATGTATACTCAGACAAGACGAGAAGTCCGACTTGACTGATTGGCCAAGCTATGAGCTTAGCTCGACTACTGCGTGCAAAATCTAAAGTCAGAAAAACTATTGTGTATCGAAAGCAGTGGCATTCCCAATGTTTGAGCACTACTGCCTAATGATTTGAGGACGGTGTGTTTCTGTCATGACATATGAGAGATAAGAAGTTTTATTGTGTTTGAGTCGAATCATGTGGCTGATAACACAATCTTTAACTACCACTGGAAAAGCGCAAAGCCTCACAATTTTATGAAACAACTAACTTCTTCTTGAGTAATGAGGCTGTTAATATGACAATGATACAACAAAGGGCTCATGGAGAAGAACCTTAACATGATAAAATTGCCTCAACACTATCACACACCATCTAGACTGCACGGAGGGAAGTTACAAGACAATTTAGTTTTGGAAATATAAATCTGAAATAGAAACTTTCCTTCAATGTATATGGGAATGTAGTTTGTTCAGACCACTCAGGATCAAGGTATAGAAATTTTAAATACCTGTAAGTCCAAAGTTATATTAACTAGGGGACTGGTCCCAATACCAAACATATCCAAGTGTGCATTTCCTGTTATTGATGTGAGGATAGTGACAGTCTGTTGAGTTATTTTAAGACACTGGTAAGAAACAAAGGCCCAGAGCTGAAAGACTGGATTAGTGCATTGGTCGAAACAGCATCTTACAAATTAATGCTTAGTAGAACATTAAAATGGAAGACAGTTTAAAATAGATATCAGTCTATTCCGTGACCATGTGATCCTGTAGAATTAATTCATTTATTTATTTGTATTTTTTTACTGGCTATATGTGTTTTCCCTATTATTTTGGAATAATATTTTTTTATGGACAGAATATGTATGCAATGTACCAAGCCTTTTAAAAACAAATAAAGAATTAATTTAATTAAATTAGATTAAATAAGAGATATTTAAGCAATTGAATAAAGGACTGTGTGGGCACTTCAGTGGCCAAAAGCATGAAACAAATTATACTTTTACATATACAAACTGTATAGCTTGTATTTTTTTCCTGAGTTTCTGCTTTAAATATCTATCACCTGCCCGAGCCTCTTGTACAATTATTTGGGACACAGCAGTAACATCCAGACAACAATACGTCATTAATCAAACACCTTTAAAAAAAAAAACACACAGGCTAAGAGGGCCAAGTGTGCAGAGATGAAGCAATCATCAACAACACTCCCATGTTGTGAGCACACTGTTGAGCAGCATCATTTAAAATCTGATTACACTGGTGCACTTTAGTAAAAGAGGCATTGAGCAAAGCATTACTCCCACACTGTACTGTGTCATTTTAACTAACATGTAATAGATATACAGACCTGCTTTTTCAACCTTTATTCAGCAGAGGAAAGCTGACTGAGCACACTTTGCACTTTACCAGGGAAAATAAATAAGGCTGGAGCTTTGACCGTGAGCTGCCACTAACACTGAAATGATTTCTCAGTCACCTTTTCATTTTTCACAAATGTCTCCTTTCAGGCTGCAAACAGGGCGCACAAAGACACGCTCACAGAGGGAAACTAATCTCCACACACAGCCTTCGATCAATGCTGCTGCTGAGCAGTGCCAGCAGCAGACTGTGAGTCAGTGAATGACGCTGACATTTTTATAGAGATAATAAGCCTTCACTATCCCAGTTATGGAGGGACAATCTCAAATGACAAATAAACCTTTATTTTAACTGTGCAGATTAGAGTGCCAAAGGATGATGAACAGTGTGGATTCGCTTACCGAGAATTTCATCAAAGATTTTGTACAGTCCAGGAACGTAGGTGATTTCTCTCTGGTTCATTCCGATCTCTTCATCAAAAACCCACATTAGCTGAAAAAAAAAAAAAGAAATCAACTTTCTGGGTGGACGACATCACTCAAAAAAAAAACATGCAAATGAGCAGATTGGTTAACATAATCGTGAGTGAGCTTATTAGCAGTAATACACAGACAAGTTTTAGGCTGATATGAATTTTTGATTGCTGATATTAATACAAATATATGTTTAAACTGGGAATACAAAAGACATTTATTTATAAGTCATTTATCTCCAGATCTCCATTTTCATCATCAGACCAAAATCTGTCACTCTGTGATCAAATCTTTTAAGTTACCGCAATCTCAGAATTGGTTACATGCAAAAACTTTTCAAAAACTCTCTGCCAATGTTGCATCATGTCATAGCCAAAGCCGTGTCACATGTGTCATCAGCTCATGACAGAGATGAAAGCACAAAATTTCTTTCTTTCATTAATCGTGTAATTTGCAAGGCGAACAAAATGCCAAACGCAGCAGTGAAGTGCGGCCTGCTTTGAGCTGCCATGCAATGTCATCCGAGCTGCGGCAGTCTAATTCTGTGGCGAAGTGCGGCCAAAGAAAAAGTTGAGGATAGTTTTACTTTTAGCTGCAAAGTCCTGTGAGTCCTGTGACATGTTGACCTACGTTATTAAGAATTTCCTTCCCCGAAACACAACAAAGAAAGTAATTATTGCACTTCGCCGCTGCTTGGTGTTTTTTTGGCGTAAAATGTTGTTATGATCCAACATGCGCCAAATTAAAAATTTTATTAAAAATTTAACTGAGTAATATTTTTGATTAAAGGTAACTTGTGTTTTATTTGTGTAAAAAAAGGACCACATGTCTGCTTTTTCTGCACTCTCCCTCACTGAAAAATTCTGGATGTGGCCTCAGCCCCGCCCACCACCTGTGCTCACATTAGGTTGACCGGTAAAGAGCAGCGCGCATCAAGATGGCTAGCATTAGCGTTAGAAGAAACATCACAGATTTAGCCATAAGTGTTTAAGCATTTGTCAGACCCAGACTCAGATGAGGAGTCTGTTGTGCACCAAAATCAGCAACTAGCAGACATATAAAAATGGTAAGTTATAGTTAGCATCTTTCATTTGTTTATGTTATTCATTAATTTATAAGTGTGCTCTGGACTCACCTGGGTGACGGGCTCCACAGAGCCGATGTATGTGTCTGGACGGAGGAGAATGTGCTCTAGTTGGGTCTTCTTCTGGTACACTCTCTCCACGGACAACTTGGAGCCTGCCTTGTCCTTCTTGGCCCCTTCCATCTTGCCAGTTTCACTTCTGCCATTCGCAGCCTCCTGTTTGGCAGAATTGTTTTTGTTATAATAAAGAAAAGATAATTACTTTGTTGTGCTGTGGTAAGGACATCAGACTATCAGTGCCCACCAGCATAGGAACAACACAAGAGACCTCGCAGTGGCTTTGTGATTTTGGTGAGACAAAACCAACAGAAGCAAAGTACAGGCCATTATACGGTAATTGGCAGGCTCATGTTGTGTCTCTACTGGTGTTAGCTTTAAGACTTCTATCTCTCTGTTCCAAACTGGGTTAAAAATCAAGTTCTAAGTGTTAGTGAGCATAGGATGTGAGACTTTGATAATATCCAAAGGCAAATAAGCTGAATATTACGTAAGAAAATAGATACACTTACATTAAACATTTAACATGCAAGACAAAAAAAAGAAACCTTTGCCTTATATGTGAAATCGAAAGATCGAACAATGCCGTCAGTGCAGTCTGTTTCTCCTGGTTGGAATTCCTTCAGTATTCATTGTTCAGGAGATTTTTACCAAGAGCTGCATTATCCACAGAGGTCTCTGCCTCTCCAAAACAAACGCAGCAGGTGATTAAATTCGATAAAACACTGAATAAAACTGTTTCCCATTGTTTCTCCAACACTGTTTGGCTCATTGCAGAGGGGCTGCTGGCCCAGCTCCTGCTTATATGTGCACACCTTTTCTCTCTGATAACTTAAAATCTGGATGTTTAGGAGGTTTGTATCGGAAGCCAAATTATACACAGAGGTCTGTTCCTCTCCCAAACAAACAAAGCAGGTGATTTAAACTGGTAAAAACACTGAGTAAAGCAGTGTCACATTACAGATCAGTGTTTCCGAGATGTGTTCAGCACAACAGGGGCTGAAGCTGAGCTGCCGCAAACATTTGCTCAGCTTGTTTCTCTGATAACTTAAGATCCAGACGTCCCACGGAGAAAATCCCTCATCTGGTAAAAACATATACTTCAGAAGAGCAAGATCTAAAAGAGTGTATCGAAGGAGTGTGGCTTAAAACTGGATAAACAATCAATTTACGACCACTTCTAGCAGACAACCACAAGCCTGATATGTGCGCAAAGGTGATATGACACCACTGAAAGGTGGTGATGGTGACCAAAGGATTCAAAACATGTCCCTGATTAAAATGACAGATTTTTCTGGATTTAAATTTGGGATACTGCAAGTACACAACTCAACAAAACGTATAACATTGGTCAGGGTTTTTTTTTTTTTACATTTTAATGTGGAAAAAAATTCATATAAGATCTTGCTGGAATTCAGACAAAATGTTAACATCTCTAAAAATCAACCAAATTAACGGTTAAGTCATGATTTGAACACACACGTTTGCACCACTAATTTTTAACTCAATCAGATAAAATTTTCTAGACTCCTGCATGAAAATCCAACATCTTTCTCTAAACTTTGCATCCCTTTACTGCCCTATTACACCACATAGAGGAGTAGTTTCAGAGCACTGTACTGAGGTATACAGAATACAACCTGTGACAACATAAGAATGGATGTAATGCAGGTTTAACACATTTTCAGTAGATGCACTTCACACACAGGTCTGCTGTATTAAAAAGGTGTATGACTGCCTCCTTGCATCACTGTTTTTTGAGATGCTAAATACTTGCAGTGCAGATGTGTTATGGTCACCTTGTTTAAAGGCAGATGAATAACAGCTTGTCCAACCACACTTCTGTCTCTGTTTATAGTGTTAATGTTACAACATGGTGAAGCAGCGTTTTGTTATCATGCAGCACAAACCTGGAATAACCTCCCAGATGAGAAGCCCTGACTCTGACCATTTTTTTGACTGCAACTTTATGTCAAAACTCAATTTTAAATCGTTTTAAATAATCTTTTTTATCTTTGCACCTCTTGTCTGCACTTTTGCTATTTTCAGTGGTGTTAGTTATTTAGTAAATAATTTTACCTTGTATAAATATTTTTCTCTTCACTCTTTTCTGTATCCTTTATTATGATTTATATTTTATTGCTCTGTAAAGCACTTTGAGTTGCTATTGTGTATGACATGTGCTACATTCTGTTTATTCTGTTTTATATTTGTGTACATTTTATATTGCTATATATTTGTGTGTCATTCTTTAAATCTGTACAGCACTTTGGTTAGCTGCTGTTGTTTTTAAATGTGCTATATAAATAAACTTGATTTGATTTGATACACAAATAAAGCTGCCTTGCTTTGCTTGGCTTAATGAAGGTGCTCATAATAAGACTATGGTGACTTAATACTATGTGATCAAAAACGAATACATCCAAGGCACAAAATCTGGTAGCCAAAGCCATGCTGACACTGTAATGAACTGTAAATGCACCCCCCGACCTGAGAGACTGTCTCTGACAATGCCTTTGACTGAATGTGTGTGTGTGTGTGTGTGTGTGTGTGGTTTGTGAGAGAGTGGGGGTCGGTGGCATATGGGTCACCATACTGGTCTTGTTTGAAACTACGCCATTGAAAATGCATGCCCACTTGCACTAGTAGACACCTACCAAAACACGAGTCAGCACAGTGAATTCATTTAAAAGTTGATTTACTAACTTTAACAGATGGTTTGAGCTCAGTGAGTTCAACACTGGCAACTTTACAAGCCAGTCATTAATATTAAATGAGACAGACTTACTGAGAGAAGACTTACGCCATTAATTTTGTTTATAACATTGCTGTAATAAACAATGCACCTATAGAGCATGTTGTAAATTAATGCACTGCAACTCTATTGCGTAGCGCATATTTAACATTACCAATGAGCAAGGCACATCCCCTTCCTTTAGTCTGATAGTGTTTACTATGGACTCTTTGCTCCGTCCCTATCGTGAAACAAAATGCTATGGTTGTCTCTGCCACTATAAGTTGTTGTTATCTTTGTAAACCCGGTCCAGCATCAGGGCTAAGGCCTGTGTAACCCGGTCACATTTAAATCCAGATCATTAAAGCTGGCTGGTCTTTAACAAGCGTGCTCAGGACTGGGGACGCTGTGGGCTTGCTGGGAGATTTAAACGCGAGATAACGCGTTTAACGCCCCGCTGCACCGTGCTAACGTGAACACAACACTTACACGTGAAACAGAAGCATAATATACTCATAAAACTGAGTTAGTTACGTTATCGGTGTGATAAATTAACTTACCATCCACGCCAGACCCCCGCTTCCTGCTGCGCCGTTGGACATCTTCCTTTGTGATGCTTATATTTTCTGATGCACCTCTCAAAATGTCTTCAGTTCCAGTTGAATTAAATGTCCGCCAGCATAACAAAGGTCTCACTTGCTGAAATGTACCCGGACCCGTTTATCTTCCATGTTCTTTCTCCGTTTGCGTTAGCAGATAATCCTTTGAGTGTACCAAAACAAGCGGAGGGGAGTGTATCGCGGCTATTGTTAAAATCGACAAGCGGTGGCACAGTAGGCCTAAACTTCCAACAAAGATGCTAACCGGCTGCTAGCTGCGAAATAAATACTGTACAAAACGCGCGTATTAAATAGGTTTACAATTTCATGTGAAAACTCGACAGAATAAAATAGCAGTTTAACTGAAATGCTCTCAAAACGATACACTTAAATACATTTCCTTCAGAAATCAAACGAATATGAGCTAGCAGCAGCACCAGCTGTCCGGCTCCGCCATCTGCAAGATAGACGGCGAATCGTCTCCGAGATAAACCGACCAATCAGGTGGCTGCTTTTCAAAGGCACCGGTACTTCGACCAATCAGAGAAGACAACACTTAAAGGACATGGTGTTCTTTCAACACAAGATGGCGGCAGAGCTCCAGCTTCACCACTGGAGACCAGACAGTGTGAAATGTAACGCATACTATATTTTATTATATTACCACGTTTCCTAACATCCAGCCCTTCCCACCACACCAACACAATGTATTATGATAAAAATAAATGTATCTGGGCATGGCAGGGTGGAAGAACACCATAGCTTAACATTAACACACGTCAATAATCAGTTTATTACTGGCAGGAGAACTGGAGCAACCTGAACTGACAAGGTAATCAGCTCTGGTTCACATGTGCAATGTTTCTATGTACCACAAATTACAGACACACTGACAGTAGAAGCAAATATTACAAAAAACTATGGCTTTAAAACTCTTTACATGTTTATTGTAGACTGCATGTCTCATAAGTCATGTGGCCCTTTGTCACATCATCTGTACTCTGTGATAGGTACAAAATGCATGTCTTCACTCATCTATCAGCAGGCCATGCATATTTAAAGGAGCAGTGTGTAGGATTTAGGGTGATTTAGTGGCATCTTGCGATGAGGACTGCAGATTGCAACCAGCTTCAACATCTCCCAGTTACAGTAACTTCAGTGTTTATTGTTCAGGAGGTTTGTACCAGGAGTTGAATTATCTGCAGAGGTCTCTTCCTCTCCAAAACAAGCAAATTAAAACCGGTAGAAACACTGAATGAAGCAGTGTCACATTACAAATCAGTGTTTCTGCAACGCTGTTTGACATGTCAAAAAAGGGCGGCTAGCCTAGCACGTGCTATGTGTGCTCACTTTTTGTTTCTGATAACTTTCACTGGGAGCAGAATTATCAGCAGAGGTCTCTTCCTCTCCAAAACAAACAGATTCAGTGATTTAAACCGGTAAAACCACTAAATTAGGCGGTTTCACATTAAAAAAATCTGTTTTTTCTATGCTGCTCTGCACAGATGGGCCACAGGGACACACGAACGGCCGTATCTGGAGTCAGTGTTTGGTTTGTCCATTCTCAGCTACCGTAGAAACATGCTGGTACAACATTGCAATCTCTACAAACGAGGTCCTGCTCCTCACGTAGATACACATGACTCAATCTAAGGTAACAGAGAAACGATTCTTATTTTCAGGTGATTATACACTTAAAGAAATTTTTTTTTTTTTTTTTTTTTTTTAAATTTTTGCCAATATGTCCCACTGAATCCCACACACTGGACCTTTAATCATCCTGAAGGACCGACACAAATTCAAATATTGCACTGATTTCTTTTCATACAAAACTATCATCCAAACAGTTAACTCTGAACTTGTCCCAGAAGTCAACACCAAGAAAAATTACGGATCCGATTTAGTTGAGTAAAAAAGTGTTAAGCATCCTCTAAATGGATGAGGATTTCTAGTGAAGACTGCTCTGGCTCCTTTAAGCTTTGTCTGAAGAGCTGAGAGTGCTGCCATGATTCTCCACCACTGAGTTCTGCTACAACAACGAGCTCTGAGGAGCCGGATAGACTCTGGAATGACTGCATCTTCCCATCTGAAGGTTCAAACACAGGAGACGGGGAGGGAGAGGAGAAGAGAGGAGAGGAGAGGAGAGGAGAGGAGAGGAGGAGAGGAGAGATAATGTCAAACAAGTATATTTAGAGTATTTGTATGAGAATATCAATTAAATAACCATACCTCCAGTGAACTCTGTAGTGATCTGGCCTGCCTGCAGGTGCCAGCAGACTTTCCCAGAGTGGAAGGTCTGGCTACCAGCCATGATAGAGACGGACTTCATCTTCATTGCCACCGGACTGAAGTCAAACTTCCAGCTGATTCTTCCCGTAGAGGAGCCTTCTGTTCGAGCTATGTAAACCTGAAGATAGAAATCTGGTCATCACACCTACCGCTGCATGTGAAGCTAGTGAAGAGTTTATTCTCATTTCATACACTCCCTTAATATATATGTGTCCAATCCGTATCTAATCTTAGTCATGTACAAAATCAAGTTTTCAAACTGCAACATATTGCAGTGCTTGTTTTGGAGCTGGTGGGTTTTCTGCTCTGTGAAAAACAGAAGGCGCTTTCTCTAAACACAGACACCCACTCTTGTCTTGGCATGGTTCTCACACAGTCTGATTAAATTACACAATGACTACAACTTCTTTGAATTGTAAATGCGGCCGATTAGCATTCAAACAAGGCACAAAGTGTGAACTTTTTCTTTTTTAAAATCAAAAACAGGCACTCCACCAGTTTCATACCACTAGGATCCTGATTGAAGACACTGCCTAAGACTGCCCAATCATACACTTATATTCATTACTAGTCTTTTTGATGTACAACTGACAGCAGACAGGATTATATTTCACTGAAATTGTATCTTATGATTTCATGTGACAAATAAATTGACTGGCTGAGGCACACACAACTTTGATTTTTGACAATTCTCTTTAGCAATGGCTCTAAGGATTGAAATGTCCGATTGGTCCAGAGTGAAATATCTTAACAACTATCAGATGGATGGCCATGAACTTAGATTCAGATGTTCATGGTCCCTAAAGGATGAATCCTGCTGAGTTTGGAGACCTTTGCTGCCATCTTCTGGTTAACATTTGAACTTGTCCAATACTTTGGTTCATGACTAAATACCTGCAATGTAAGTGACAATCCTCTCGGCTTTAGCTGTTGCTGCTTTGTGTCGAGTGCTAATAATAGGCATACATAAGCATGTTAACACACTAAATTCAGATGTGATCATGGTTAACATTACACAGTCAAAGGTGCAGGCTCTGCCAAACTTTGTCAAAAAGACTCACAGAGTACTCACGGTGCAGCTAGTGTGGCTGCAGACTCCTAGTCTTATTATAATCTCTCTATTACAAGTACTCTAGTCTGGCTCACAGGATGTAGAGTATATTACAGTTTTCAAAATCCCTGTCACCATGTGAAACTAGTCTTGCACAGCCATATCTATTTCCACACTTCCTTTTAACACAGTGTGTGAAACAACAATAATAATCTCAGAGCTAGCAACCTACACACTGAAAAGTCTTTTAATGTTTTATGTAGCGTTTTCTCTCACAGGGATTTAGCCATTTTAATGCCAGCGCTCACCCATACACCCAACAAGTTCCCTACCGACACTATTTTGCAAGTGCGTGGTATCCTGGGCTTGGGACCACCCAAAATGATTGTGATTGGTTTAAAGGGTTTTAATGTTTCCTGTCTTTGCCATTGAATACTGAAAAAATAATGTTCAAACTGAAAAATATGTTGTTTTTTTTATCCAAACAATAATAAAACATACCATCTGCCAGTCCTCCTCCACCTTTCTGAAGACTGACTCCTTCCTCCACACACACTGATCCCAGCTCTGGATGACTTCAGAGTTGTTGGACACTCGACAGTACTGGTCTTTAGCGGCATTGTAGCGCACGTGCAGTAAACAGTCCCTCTTCTCTTTCTCAGTGGGAGTAAACACATATTCTGCAGCCTGAGAAAAAACACACAGAGACACACACTTATTTTCATTAGTCAAATACTGATTTGTATCAGACATCCAGCTACTAGCTTTCACGCTATGATACATCAAGCTGTTATTATGCTAAGAATGCAGCACTGCCTCTGAGTGGTGTTTAATGCAGCTGTGACATCATCTATTGTACTCATACTGTAAATATGAAACAGGACTGATCATAAGCTTCGTAAAAGTAGGATGCATTGCAGAACAGGTGTATTTATAAAGGTGGACCTAATTAACATCAGAGTATATACTACCATTATCATCCCTGGTTGTTATTGAAGATTTAAGTGTCCGACAACATCCTAAATCAAGTGATTAGAGAATTAAAAAGATCCAACATATGTTTGCATTTTAATGACAATCACGTTGCTGTTGGGAAGAGCTTAGTCGAAATGTCTCTTAAATTAAATATAATTAAATGTATCAGTAGATACATAATGCTGAGAGGAGTAAGTTCAATTATAAAACCATATAATGAACAGTACCTGTGTGGATGTCCCTGTATCCTTCCTGGTCTCCCCCCGTGCTATCCTCCAGGCCAGAGAGCCAGAGTTGCGTCCGCCCAGCTCTCCTGGTTTTGGTTTCTTGGGGGAAATGAACTCTACCAGTTCGACAAGCAGCCTCTCTGTCAGCTCCTTCTTCCTCTCTGGACTCAGGGACTGCTGCCTCTTCAGTTTTAGAGCAGATGGAAAGTGCTTTACGTTGGACTCACCACAACAATTAGTCTGATATTCAGGGTTCTGACTTACCGTGGTATTAAGCCCATTGATGGTGTGCAGCAGCCAGGCCTCCTGAACCTTGGTCCTTCTTGACAATACCTCTGGATGTTTGCAGGAATATCTCCACGTCACATCAACCACCTGCATCACAAACACATGCCAGAGGACTGTCGGTTAACCCTGGAAGAGAATTAATGTCTAAACAACAGTCAGCAGTGCACAGCTCTTTACTGATTGGCCTAAAGGGGGGTACCAGGCATTACAGGTGGAATTACATTGCTTAGCCAACATGGTGATACTCCTGCCTGCTTCTCCAAACTGGGGACATACCAACTGGCATCTAATGCATGTAATAGTAAAAAATCTGAACTATCCCTTTAAGGACATGACACTTTTACTTTAGTATTGAACTGACAGGTTTTTAACTGACCCACAGAAATAAGATTACAAAAAGGCAAACGTTTAAAGTGAAATAAAAACTGGACAAATACCAGTATGTGATCGTATTAGTACTAGTAGTAGTGGCAAGAGTTGTAGTGGTGATATGTAGTGTCCATTTGCCTGACCTGATCCTTAGAGAAAGCCAGAACGTAGGCCAGTTTCTTCCCCCAGCCGACCTCGTACAGTAAAGGCTTATCACAGCTTTTCTCACACGAGTCGCAGTGCAGCCAGCGGCGCTGAGACACCGAGTAAATCT